TACTACTACTACTACTACTACTACTACTACTACTACTACTACTACTACTACTACTACTACTACTACTACTACTACTACTACTACTACTACTACTACTACTACTACTACTACTACTACTACTACTACTACTGAACTTCGCCTTTATTTGAAAACAAACCGGGTATCAGAAAGAAGAAACTGAAAAGCGCAAGCAAGAAAAGCAATGGTGACAAAACCATTCAAGAAAAATCAAATCAAATAAATAGGAAAATCCAATCAGAAAATAAAATAAAATAAAAGAATCAAGCCAACTAGGGAATACAAAAACAAAGAGCAAACCCGCAAACACCATCCAAGCATCGCTACTACCAGTACGGTGACGTTTCCATTCACCCAACCGCTCAAACGCTTTTAAAACGAAAACAAATACAACAGAACACTCTGAGACAGAATGAAACCAATGACAATATTATGGCAAGTCCATTGATACCCGTCAGCGCGGCATATGAGCCAATGTACGGCACTCCGTTACAAAGCAATGTCGGCCAATGCCGGATCCACTGCGTAGGTATGATGCACGTGACCCCCGGAAGCAAGTAATCTGCCACCGCATCAGAGATAGACTGATTCTCGAGCGCAAGTGGCTGATGATGAGACGATACGGTATGTCCGCAAGCGGAGTGAACGATCCTCGATCCACCTGGTTGATTCGATCGGAATACTGACGTTTCTTCTGACGCTCGTGTTGGGATAACTGCCTCGACACTTCTGGTCCAGACAGCAAAGACGGCCTTGGGTGCGTGACCCGTACATCAAAAAAGGCGTTTTGCTGCCTGGTCCAGAAGCCACGAGCCCGTATATCCACACGAGCACCGTCAGCTGAGCCCCCAGAGACGGCTTCACCACCCAACGGCATCAGCGGTGGCTCAATCTCGACATCGCAAACAACACTAGCGAGTGCGTCCGCTAGGAGGTCGCGAAGTTCATTGTGTCTCTGGGTAGGGTATCCCCCGCTTGGGCACGTGAGGGCGTGATGAACTGACATGTCTTGGCCACAAACACAGGATAATGATATGCCATCAAGCGGCAGGCCATACCTCAGGCACAATGCGTCTCGAAAATCAGACTTGTTGAATATAGTTAAAGGAAATGAAGCCGATGGAGGCGTAACCAGCCACGTTGACACACCGCCGTCACCCGCGACATCCACTAGTAGGCGCTGCTCATCCGTCAGAGCGGGCCTGATCTCCTCCAATGCAGCATTGTGCTGCGCCCGGCGTTCCCGGCGAGCCTGCGTGGCCAAACCCCTGGAGGCAGCGATGATATCGGCAACAGGACCGTCGATAGCATCAGGACCATCGACAGCACCAGTCAGCACGCAATCCACCATGGGCATTATCGACGTCCGGCAAAGGAGGTACTCAGCCTCCGCACGCAAACTGCCAATGCGGACAGCCAGCCCTCCATTCCTCACAGGCATTGCAAAGAGCTGACGGAGTACACCATCAGCCGCAAGAGGATGGCCTGTCAATGCTGGCAGCAGATGTTTGTTGATGACGTCATCCAGTGGCGTATACAGGACAGGGTCCACAAAGACTGCACGCTGCAGATAGGTCCAACGGGACTGCAGAGAGGCAGAGAAGACGCGAAAGGCCGCCTGAGGCTGGGTGACAGCCAGACCAGCAAGGCGCCTAACCAATGTGGACAGTTCCTCAACACGGCTCTTCACAAAATTCTCTCGGAACTGTTGGTCTCCAATGGCCCCGCCAAGGTAACGAACGCCGTCGCTCCGGATACGGACATCAGTGCCGGCAAATACCTCCTGGGCCCTTTCCATTAAATGTGGACGGACGAGTAAAACCGTCTTCATGGCATTGGGGTGGTAGCCATACCGGGGCCCCTCCTCCACGATGCAATCCCAATACCCACGCAGCGGCAGGAGCTCTCCGGCTGCGGCATCGTCATCCGCGTACCAAATCTGGCTGGTGCTTGGAAGTCGACGCGACAGCCGAGATGCCAGGGGCACAGTCGCGAGAGCGTAGAACGCCATGGCAAGAGGATCCCCTTGGCATGTACCCTCCCGGGAATAAATGACCTCTCCGCCATTGAGGTATAGAGGGATGTCGGCCTGGTAGGTGTTAATGAAAATTCGCCCAGCGGCAGGACAGATTCTTGGAATGTTGTGCAGCGCCGCGGCCCTGTTCAGAGAATTGAAGGCGTTGGACGCATCCACCAGCAGAATACCTTGAGTCGTCTCGCGGTCATAGAGGCCGGTCAAAGCCTGCACCCCGACCTCGCAAGCCGACGGGACGCCGACGCACAGCTGATGAGGAGCAGTAACCGCAGCCACATCCCTCTCGATAACCGACATGACCACTTTCCCGATCACGCGGCGAAACACCTCCCCGATGGCTATAGGCCTTACCCCAGGCTGCTTATCCAATGGAATGAGCCTTGCTGCCAGGAATGAGCGGAGATCCCGCGGCTCAATTGCCTCAGTGCAAAGACGCTTGGCAGCACGAGCCAGAGCCGAGCACAGGTCGTCAGAAGCTGATGTATACATTGAGGCCATCCGACGCCAGGCAGCGGAGTCAAGGCCTGACGGACCCGCTGCCCCCTTCATAATCATGCAGGTCTTGCGGATTTGAGCTGGTGTTATTGAATCAAACAGCACATTCTCCTGGACTGTGGCTTCATCATCGAGTAGAATCTCTGGTTCTGCATCAGCCGGAACAGGATGCTTGTCTCTCAACAATTCCAGTACCGACTTGCCACCCACAATCTTGTCCAACGGGAGTACGCCACCACCACCATCATCCTCCAGGTAGTGAGCAGCTGTTCCAATGCGGTCGCTGTATACCATTTTTGCGAACTCGACGTCATCCAGACCATTAGCTGCTGTTTTGCCAGGTGTTGATCTGGGTAGATGGGCTTGAATGCACCGTGCCTCACGCAGCAATGCCGCCATGTCTCCACACATCCACCAGTCAAGACGCTTGCGTAACGATTTCTTGTTGTCAGAGGCATTGGATACTACAAAAGGCCGCTGCAAAATCAGATGGCAAGCAATGACCACAGCCGACCATGCAAAAGCTCCGTCGCGAGTTCCGCCGCTGAAAAGACCAATCAGGCGAGCTAGTTCCTTGACGAACCGACGACCCTCATCCCCGAAAGGTATGATAAACAGATTCCGTTGCCACTTGACTATTTCTGCATGGGTTTTGTCCATTAAAATGATTATATCGTCTGTTGGCAACGACCAAAAGCCATCAGGTTCTGGAGAATCACATTTCTCGGGTGGCAGATCAACAAACTGAGGCTGTCGAGACGAGCCGGGACCCACAGAGGTCGGCGCTGCAGACGCAGGTACCCGGGAAGCTGCAGTGGGGTCAGCAGAAGCACCCACGGGCGAAGGGGCGGCAGCGCAATCAGGAACCATCCCGGAGCACACAGGAACAGGCAAGTCCACCCGCAGTGACTCCCCACACGGAACCGCAGTCGCAGACACAGAAGATTGGGAAGACCCAGCGACCTCAGGCGCCGGTGCCGCACCCGAGCGTTCGGCGGCCGATGACGGGGGCCTGGATACCAAAGTCGCCCGTACCTCGCGAGGCACACCACCGGTCCGGCCAGCAGCGGACTCACCCGATCGAGAAGGCTTCACTCTTCGCCCACTCCAGGCCGGCGGATCACCAGCAGAAAGGCCTTGAGGCACCTCTGATCCACCAACATCATGCAAATCACAATTTCCAAAATTCTTGCAGCGCCCAACTTGACCTGGGTAGCAATTGAAACAGCATCGTCCATCCCTATTGCACGAACATGCTCCGCACGTTCCAGTTTTCTTGCTGCAGGAGCAACAGGGCCCAGCCGACGCCCCACGCCGTGACATGCCATGCAGCCTGCAGCACGGGCGAAGAGACGCGAGGTGTGAAGAGCACCTCGCATGTCACTCGCCACAGACCATGTGGGAAAACACTCACTGTGACTCAGCCGCGAAGCACAACACAGCAAGCCATCTCACCCACGGCCCAAAGGCGAAGGCACCGAAACTACAGCACAATGGCCGGTTCGCCAGGCAATACGACACCAGCTGGATGTAGGAATAGCAGACTGGGCAACTCCACAGCGGTAAAACCTACTGGAGCCGACTCCCGAAACCTAGACGAAAGTAATGACGTAGGATAAACAACCGGTTGACCTGGACAGTGCATAAAACAATTAAAAAACTGCGGAGGAGCAAAATCTCCATCCGCACTCTATGAGCCGCACTACTACTACTACTACTACTGCTGCTGCTGCTGCTGCTGCTGCTGCTGCTGCTGCTGCTGCTGCTGCTGCTGCTGCTGCTGCTGCTGCTGCTGCTGCTGCTGCTGCTGCTGCTGCTGCTGCTGCTGCTGCTGCTGCTGCTGCTGCTGCTGCTGCTGCTGCTGCTGCTGCTGCTGCTGCTGCTGCTGCTGCTGCTGCTGCTGCTGCTGCTGCTGCTGCTGCTGCTGCTGCTGCTGCTGCTCCTACTACTGCTACTACTACTACTACTACTACTACTACTACTACTACTACTACTACTACTACTACTACTACTACTACTACTACTACTACTACTACTACTACTACTACTACTACTACTACTACTACTACTACTACTACTACTACTACTACTACTACTACTACTACTACTACTACTACTACTACTACTACTACTACTACTACTACTACTATGTACAGCTACCCTATCGGGCCACGCCGCTCTCAGAAGCGGGAGACAACGACAAGAAGAGAGAAGAGAAGAGAGAGAAATCGCAAAGCACACACACACACACACACACACACACACACACACACATTCACACACATACACACACACACACACACACACACACACACACATCACCCTTGGGAAAGTTTGAAAAAAATGGCGTATGAATGATATTGACTTGCGAGAAGAGTATCCAGTGTGGATATCCTAGAAGTCTAGTACTTGAGTAGGTAGCTACAGCTAATGTTCTGCTCTATTTTCACAGGTTCAATGGCTTGCACAGTAATGAAGGCTACTCCGCCAACAAGACCCGTCCGACCATCATCCGTGTGTCTCCGTGCCCTCGCTGTATGGTGGAAATGCGCAAGAGGATGTCCTGTGAGACGGTGGACGTGGACGCCGAGGCCATGCCTGAGGCAGTGTATGATATGGTAAGGTTTGCACTTATATCAGTTCACTACATGGGTGGAGAGATAAACTAAATGGGACAGTTCTTGATGTTTTCACTAGAACGATCAGATATTCTCGCCTTGTGCCCATAAACCTTTTAAAAGTTCTAACAATTCATCCTTACTGACTGTTGTGCTATTCCAGGTGATCATCCAGTAAATGTACTGGATTATAAATGGAACACTGCATTAATGCTGTGGGCTAGTGTGGTTGGCACAGTTGTGCAGTTCAAAAGGAATTCTAATTCTAGCTGTGTATGCTGTACCATACATGTTGACATTCCCAATGCCAGGCCTGACCGTATTTCTATGTTGCTGCGGTCTGCTCTTGTGCATTCGGCCTAGGCTAACAGCTTGGCTCGTCGCATCTTCAAGGCCGCCACCAATCCATCCCCGAATCATTCGAGTCTGCGTCGTGGCAACCCTGTCCGCCTGCACTCTGCGCATGACGAGGACGACGGCGACGCACCGGACGAGACAGCTCTGCGCGTGTTCTCCCTCTACTCCCTGGCGGCTAAAGCCGACGCTGACATTGACGTCAGCAAGTGTGAGATGGAGTGTGAGCGGCATGGCAGTCTGAGTACACTGCGCCTAGCACCTGATCTGGTTAGTCCGCTACAGTTTAGTTACTGTTAGGTTTTGGGTTTTCAACTGATATCAACAAGCGCTGTGTTCACTCTAATTTGGCTAGGATGCCGAATCTGTGATATTAGCTTTGTTTTTGAACACTGGTCCTTAGTAATGATAATGCAATCTGTGTTTATCACCGTCCTATCATCTCAAAATGTTCCAGGCGTTACTTATTATATGGTTTTCTCACCCCATTCACAGCTGAATATACATGTACCGGCAGTTCCAATTGTTGTCATGATGGAGTAAACGATAGTTGGGAATGACGAGGTACTCATCTTCTCTGTCTCTTCCACTCTCTTCCACTCTTTTTTTCATTCTCTCCCCGCCCTTATCTCTCTCCCTCTCTCTCTCTCTCTCTCTCTCTCTCTCTCTCTCTCTCTCTCTCTCTCTCTCTCTCTCTCTCTCTCTCTCTCTCTCTCTCTCTCTCTCTCTCTCTTTCTCTCTTTCTCTTTCTCGCTATCTACTTGTGTATCTATCTCAATCTCTCTCTCTCTCTTTCTTTCTGATAAAGCTTATACTATGTATCTTAATTATTGTATTGCACTGGATAGTTCTTCGCTGATCTACCTGCGGACAAGATTGTCACGACTGCCGACTACGTCCAATGTACCTCGCTTGACAGGGGAGGATTCGGAGAGGTTTTCAATGGGAGACTATTCAAGACTAAGGTATGTCTCTAACTCTGTATTCAGCAACACCATTCAGCCTTTTTAATGCTTGAAATTTGCAGTCTCGCTACCACTTTAAGCTGACCTTTCACACATACACACACACACACACACACACACACACACACGCACACGCACGCACGCAAACACACGCACACACACGCATACACACACACACACACACACACACACACACACACACACATGCACCAGCGCTACCTCACAACATCCAACTGCAAAGTGATTTGCCAATACTGCCAATACTGAATAGGAACTGGGTAGATTCTCCTGACAGCTGTGTCACTCTCTAGGGCTAACCAGAGGAGGTAAGAATATCGAGAAAGGTCCTTACCGGTATTCCCAGTGTAATTGGGATCGAGCGTGGGAGAAATCTTTAACGGCCTAGGTAACATGGTGTGACTCCTTCCAACCAGAACATCATTGGTTCCCAGTCACAGATTGACACTGTGGGTTGGTCTAAGACCATAATCGAGAAATGAGAGGTACCTGGTTCAAGCCCTGCCCGGGGGCATTGTTTTCCAGTCATGCTGCTACCCCGGCACAGTCTGACAACTGGGACCTTGTGGTGATACACAAGGGGGACACGGATGTGGCTAACGGGGCTTCGGCACCTGTGCCAGTGGTTGTGAGATGTATCACCACTCCCCAATATTAGGCTCTGCATCTCCCGTTGGGCTTTCCGGGTGTTAGTGGCCTTTGTGAGTTCCCTTGGGAACGGCGACAAAATAAACTTTAAAAACCGTTTCCACAGGTACAGGCATAATCTCCAGCATCCGTCCGCTCAGCTAAATAATATCAGGTGTTACCTTGAAACGCCTTGCCTCTGCTCCGCAGAACGATAAGCCAAACTATCTGTGAGAAGATGTGTATCATAACATGTTAGTATACTGTGGTTGGAGTTCTGCACTGGTGAGTCTGTGTCACATAAGCCTATCATTCGACCATTCATAAACTAGGGGAGATGTTTCGGAACTACATTTCAGGCTGAGATTTACGGAATAACTGGATTCGGAGCCACTCCAGTCCGGAAATAAGGCAAGAATGCCCTGCGTTTATGTTGGTGCAGACGGGACATCCCCACCCAGTGGCCATCAAGAATTTTGAGCTGTCGAAGGATGATGATGCTGATGACGATATGGCCGACGCTGGAGGAGAAATGAATCGGGCCCGTAGAGCTTTGCACCTATACACTACAGCTAGAGCTGAGATTGGTATCCTTGCCAACCTTAACCATGATAACATTGTGAAGGTAAGACACTACGCAGCTCTAGAAATGCATCCTGCTCACTTACTCGAGGTGTGTTGCATTGTTTGTTGCAATTTTATCCAATTGCATGCACGCTGTACCAAGTGATCTGTGCATAGTGAGGCTTATTATTGTGCAAGCCTGAGGGTAGTGACGAACCGTCGATCCATGGAATGAGCTAAATTGTAGATGGAAGGGGTTAATTCCGGGTGAAATTGCACATGGAATTGATATTGCGACGTAGCTATTTACTACAACGGAACCCATGTAACCCAACCCCCACCCCCCTCCCCCCCTCTCCCCCGACCCTGCCTACGCGCCTGTACATCATATAATGTGTAGTTTCAGTCAGCATCATGTTCAATCCATACATCATCAAGGGGAAGGGGGAGGGGGGGGGGGGACGTGCCATGGCTCCTGCTTGTTTATCATAATCCTTACACTATTGTGTTGTCACTCAGGAACATTACAGTTTTGACCTGGAATTCCACATTTGATATTGCCACATTCGTATTTTCACTTGACGACATTTGCATCCATGGCAGTGACCACGGTATGGAGGTGTTTTCAAGTGTGACTGAGAACGCTTTGCAATGAAGAATTCACCAGGGAGTTCTGAGTTCTATCAATGCGACATGCATGTGTATGCATCTTAGCCTTCCCTTATTCCTCCTGCCACCATCTGTACTAATATTTTTGGGGGCTTAAGACTAGTAGCATAATGCTGTTGTTAGCTGCTCTGGCTGTTATAGGCGATTCAGACTAAGGCCAACTGTGACCACGTTTCTACGACTCAGATGGATTTGATCAGGGATTGTGCATAAAATTTCGAAACACGACTTCATCACCATGGAAATTCAAGTTTACACATGATTTTGGCCGTAGTCTGAATCGCCTATTACACTGTGCAGCCTTACGAGGACATTGCACATGCAGCTGTTTGTAAATGTGGTCAGAGTATGATGGCTTTTCAATCTGCCGTCTTCACTTCATGCATTTTCTTTCAGCTTCTTGGCGTCAACCGGAAGCCCCTACGCATGATCATGGCAAGAGCACCAGCAGGCAACCTGAAGAATTGGCTGGGAAAGTATCGGAGCCAGTCAATAAAACTTCCATCGGATGTGCTGCTTGCTTGCCTAACTCAGGTTTGTACACAGTGACACTACAGTAAAGCCAACCGTCATCCCGACGCGTTTTTGCTCGTTCCGCTTTTTCTTCTCTCTCCTAGCTATCTTTGTATCTCTCTCTCTCTCTCTCTCTCTCCCTATCAAGCTCTCATGCGGTACGCGTTAGACATGACGACCTCGTATAGACCCTGATGGGAGTCAAGTCTAGACTAGCTAGCTTAGAAGTATTATGCATATACCTAAGCGTGGCCGGGTTTCTTTTCCTTATAGCCTCTGTCACCTTGTCTACCTGTTACCTGTGGCAGATGGCATCAGCATTGGAGTACCTGCATGACAAGCAGATCATCTACCGTGACCTGAAGCCTGGCAACACACTCGTGTGGAGCTTCCCGGCACCGACGCCAATCGGTTCTCCAGAAGATAAGACGCCGGTGTTGATACGTCTTGCTGACTACGGTATCAGTCAGTTCTGCTCACCGTCTGGCATCAAGGGACTGAAGGATGGAACGCGTGTTTACATGGCCCCTGAAGTTGTTCAGTATGGTGGCAAGGAGACGTTCAATGAAAAGGTACCAGTTACACTGAGAAGAGTTCTATTGCTATCTGGTGCACTACCTTCAGTAGCTTGGTTATGTTTCGGGTTAAACGTGAGGTCTGTTCAAGGAGCTAGACGAGGGCTTGATGCACCAGAATAGAGAGCAATAGCCAGGGAGTGCCTTGCTTCCATGCAGACGTGTGTTACGTGTTCTCTGTAGCTCACTGCAAAGGCTTTGCCGTCCGAGAATCATTTTATGGGAGATTCCAAGATATAAAGTTGCAGCCTAGAGAGCGTGTGTGGGCAGGCGTGTATTTACCGCCATATTGCCAGGTGTGTATTTACCACCATATTGCCAGGTGTGTATTTACCACCATATTGCCAGGTGTGTATTTACCACCATATTGCCAGGTGTGTATTTACCACCATATTGCCAGGTGTGTATTTACCACCATATGAATCAACCATAGGTACAGCAGCAGTGGAGTCTTCAACTTCATTCTCCCGATTCCAAGATAGAAAAATGTATGAAACTATTTCTCTCCTTTCGACCACGTCAGTTTACCCTAGCCATGGAAAGCTGCTTGCTGAAAGAATAATGTAATTGTAACGAAAAGCTCCAGTGGGGTGTCAGACTACACGATAGCTTGGACGCCTGTTGGAGCCAACAGCTAACCGGAATCGGCGCCGTGCATGATGTGCCTAAAGTAGCGTGTGCTTCCTCTTTTCTGTCATTCCTTTTTTGTGAATACTTCAGATTGATGTGTATGCATACGGCGCTAACATGTACGAGCTTCTTGCTCTGTCCCCGCCATATGCTAACGAGTGTATGCTGAGCATCACAGAACAAATAAAAAGAGGCTACCTGGTGTTGCCCAGAAAGGTAGGTACGTGTGTGCGTGTGTGTGTGTGTGCGTGTGTGTGTATGTATATCTGCATAGCCAGAATATGGCAGCGCGTCCAAGGTCCAATATATTGTGTGCGTGTGTGTACGTGTGTGTACGTGTGTGTGTGTACGTGTGTGTGCGTGAGAGAGAGAGTGTGTGTGTGTGGGGGGGCGGTGTGCTATTCTCACACAATGGACTGCTAATACAATTCTACGCGGTCCTCAGGCTTGCCCTTTAAAAGTGTGAACGAATCCCTGCCTGGGTCTCTGGTGTGAACGAATCCCTGCCTGGGTCCCTGGTGTGAACGAATCCCTGCCTGGGTCCCTGGTGTGAACGAATCCCTGCCTGGGTCCCTGGTGTGAACGAATCCCTGCCTGGGTCCCTGGTGTGAACGAATCCCTGCCTGGGTCCCTGGTGTGAACGAATCCCTGCCTGGGTCCCTGGTGTGAACGAATCCCTGCCTGGGTCCCTGGTGTGAACGAATCCCTGCCTGGGTCTCTGGTGTGAACTTGTACACGACACAAGCATTGGTATCGGGTAAACAAGTGCGATGTAAATGTACATACAATTATCCACGGCGAAGTGACTCCAACCTACTCTTAATGTATTTTACAGCATCGTCGGCGCTTTCTTCAAGTCCACCAGCTGATGCGCTGGTGTATCCGCCTTGATCCACAGCAGAGGCCCAGCTTCAAGCAAGTCTCCACCGTGTTGAACTCGCCCGGCTTCTTACGTCTTGTGGACAAGGTCAGTTGTGCACCGAAGCATTCTGCCATGGCATGCATGCCGGCTGCTGTATGCCCTCTGCTGGGCTGCTAATAGTTTGGAGCCCGGCTTAAGATCAGTTGGAGGCTGGTCGTGTGCGTGTAACAGGATCAAGAGCAGGTGGACTTCTTTCAGCCTGTGCATGATACACATTATCTCTTGTTCAAAGATGCCCCCATCCCTCTAGCATTGTGACACCATCATCACACTGAATGGTGTATGTATGTATGTATGTATGTATGTATGTATGTATGTATGTATGTATGTATGTATGTATGTATGTATGTATGTATGTATGTATGTATGTATGTACACCGCCGTCACCGAGGCCACAGTTGAATTTGATAATGATGCAGTCAATACAGCCTTCCTGAGCGCAAAATTTTAGAGAGCGTTTGGTGCTGAACTGGTCAACTCCGACGGTGGTCCGGATTGTGAAATCAGGCAAATGTGGTGGAAAGCGGTAGCTTTGCATGGGAAGCAATATGGCCTGCCCGACGGAGGGGTCGGAACACGCTTCGTCAACATTTTAGCTGAAGAAATAGAAAAATGCAACAATAGCCAACAACCTTCAGAGTGTGAATTTCTTTTCACTGCTCTCGTTCTGCAACGTAACAAGTCTATTCGCAAAGGAAAGGACATCCGGCCACTCCTCACAAGACGGATGGATATGTGGGAGAATGGTCACCTCTCTGAACTACTGCATGAGGCTCAACGGTGTGATACTCAGCTGCTGACCAGCATGTGTCCTATGTCGCCAGAGCAAATAGAGCGGACCTTCAACCGTCTTATGCTCGAAGGCAGGGTCAGATCCGCGGTGCGTCTAATCACAGATCGATGTGGTGGAGGTGTACTGGACCCTGGTGGTGAGGCTCATGGCAAGGCTGGCCCACTTGGTAGGACCGTGTACGATGTGCTGCAAGAGACCCGGAGCAACAGCCCGCCGATCCAAGAGCATTCCTTGAGTGCGAGGATCTGCCCCTGCTGGAGGATGTTCATATCACTGGTGCAGTGATTGAACAGGTGGCCCGTCGACTCTTCGGCAGTGCCGGTCCCAGTGGGACCAACCCTGAGCAGTGGAGAACGTTCTTGCTATCCCATGGCAACGCCAGCAGTCGCCTGCGGGAAGCTGTGGCCGCCTCAACCCGTCGGCATGCAAATGGAATCGTGCCCTGGTGCAACATGCGAGCATTCCTTGCTCGGAGAGGCATTGCACTGGACAAGCTACCAGGATTGCGGCCAATCGGAGTGGGCGAATGCAGGCAGCGCATTGAGGCAAAGGCCATGGCCCTTGCTACGGGAATTGATGTCCAGGAGGTCTGTGGGGCTGACCAGCTATGCTCGGGTGCAAAAGCTGGGATTGAGGCAGCTGTTCATGCTATGAGCGACGTTTTCACCGAGGATGACACTGAAGGACTCCTTCTTGTCGATGCAGCTAATGCATTTAACTCGCTAAGCCGTCCCGCGGCCCTATGGAACTGCCGGGTGCTCTGGTCGAGATGCGCAAGGTTTCTATTCAACGCTTACCGTGGGTACGCTGTGATCATCTTGAAAGGTTCTTGCACATCTGAGGTCCATACCCTTCTCAGCCGGGAAGGTACTACTCAGGGATGTCCCCTGGCTATGCTAATGTATGCCATTGGTCTGCATCCTCTGATTGAGAGTTTGAAGGAACCCAGCCAGCACACCCAAAACTGGTACGCTGATGATTCTTCTTGTGCGGGACGGTTGCGCAACATCAGGAAGTGGCTCGACCGCCTTATCGATCAGGGTGAAGCTTTCGGCTACCAAGTTGAGCCGACAACGAGTATCATTATTGTTTCCCCGGATCTCGTTCAGCAAGCTAATGATATCTTTGGGGATCTGAACATCCAAGTAGCCACATCCGCCCGTTTCCTAGGAGGCTGTATCGGTGAACCTGACGGAGTGAGATCGTTTGTCAAGGAGAGAGTGGAGACGCGGGTGAGCAGTGTCAATTGCCTTGCCGCTGCTGCCAGGAAATACCCCCAGTCGGCGTATTGTGCGTTGAATCGCTCGCTCTCATGTGAGTGGTCATACCTGCAGCGTGTTGTCCAGGGTCTTGAGGAGGAGTTTGCTCCGCTTCGAGACGTCATCCTGGAGCAATTTGCCCCAGCCATCCTTGGGCGGGAGGTTCTTCCTCGGGAACACTAGCTTCTCACCCTGCCAGTCAAGTATGGTGGCTTGGCTTTGGCCGATCCTGTCCACACAGCACCCCAGGCTTACCAGAATTTGAGAAACGCAACTGACATCCTGCGCAATTCCATCCAATCTGGTAACCCCGTAAACGTAAATGATCACAGCGCTCACTGTCGCCGGATCATAAGCCAAATCAGCAGGGAACGAGATGTGATTTCCGCTGAAATCAGCCAATCAATTCTCAGTGACCTGCCACAGCTTGAGGAGCGCACCCTCTCCCGCATCGTACGGGGAAATGCCTCCGGATGGCTTACGGTGTTGCCCCTGAAGGGCGAGGGGTATGATCTGTCGAGTACAGAATTCCGCGATCAACTTGCCATCCGCTATGGTCGGCAGCCGCTTGCCCTGCCAGCGCAATGTGATGGTTGCGGGAAGCCTTTCTCTCTCCAGCATGGCCTTGACTGCCCGAAAGGTGGACTTATCAAGCGAGGCCTCAATGATCTGCGTGATAGCGATGCAAAGCTAGCTGATATGGCATTCGGTGGTGTTGTCGTCGAGCCGATCATGGTGCCGGAGGGTGATCGGACGGGGCAGCCTGCTCTTCGGGCAGATTGGCTTGCCCGGGGTGTGTGGGAGGATAACAGGGTGGCGTTTTTTTTATAATTGCATCATTGATGCCAACGCACCCAGTTACTCCCATTCATCCTGGGAAGCTACTTCCAACCGCGCTGCTAACGCGAAGAAAAAGAAGTATCGTCAGGCCTCCGAGGACCTCCGTGGGTCGTTCACACCACTGGTTTGTTCCACGGATGGGGTGCTACATCGCGAATACACCAGCTATCAGAAGCGACTTGCTGGTCGCCTCGCCCTCAAGTGGGACAAGCCATTTTCAATCATCATGGCTTGGGTGCGAGTTCGCAGCCAATTTGCAGTGATCCATGCAGTCGACCTCCGGCTACGCGGGTCTAGAAGGCGCCTGACAGGCCTGTCGACGCAGGATGGTGCTGGGGTAGGCATCGGCCATTGAAAACTGAATTCCGTCTGTTTTACGTGGAATTTCTTGGAGTTTCCCAATGTATTGTACTTGAATAAAATTCCATTTTAACTTTCATGGTATCTCAATTTTTTTCACGTCTACATGACTTTATTTTGCCCGTAAAAGAGGCCGTTACCCCGTAAAAAAAAAAGTATGTATGTATGTGAGCCTGAGCGCGCTAAAATATGACCACAGCTTTTTTTGAAAAAGTCGAGATAATCACGATTTGAATTCCGCGGCAAAAAAACCGAAGTGCAGTGCAACGCGAGTCGCTGTTGTTGTTCTCCTCGGTCGACTAGACTGTTCCGGATGCATTTCTTTGTTGCAAGTCAGTTTATTTGTTTGAGTTTGTATTCCATGTTGCGCTGAGTCGCCTAAAACTGATCGTCATCGATGTATCGACGGAAGAGCCTAGTAGTAGTAATGTACTGTGGAGCGGAAGAAGACAACATCCTCGCACTCCATGCGCAAGATAAACTATTTGAGGATTCGGGTCGGAAACAGAAAGAAGACGATGGTGGCTACAGCGACGAGTCATTTGAGGGCGACACTTTCATCGAGCGTAAAATAGTTGATGGTGGTAGTCCCATGATCTGCAGTGACGAGGAATTCTACTCTGATGACAACCTGGCAAGCGATTGGCATCGACACTGACTTGGGAGCTGAGTCGGCCGAACGATTTGGCCAGAATGGACATCGCTGCACATATCCGGGACAATGCCAGTGTTGGTTGCAAGTGGAAAAACAATCTATGGACTCTGCTGCTCCCTCAACTTGCTCAAGTCGATAATTTGAGCACCCTTATGCGGAACATCGCTAGCACGAGCAGTAGGCAGCGAAAGCAGTACTCTCTGGTGAGCGGGGAGATAACCGTGTGCAGATGGGCTTTGGTATGGGGAATATGAGTGCGACGTCGAGTATGTTGAGGAAGACTCTGTGCAGCAGTGTATACTGTATATCTGAAACTATAGGTGGAGTGTGATGGAGAGGACGTGGAGTGCCAACTTACTTCTTCGGCCATCTACAGATGTTGACCGTGTTTTCGCTGGCGGTTCTCCAGTGGTGCTCGGAACAGGAGGTATTTCGGACACCCAGCTCAGCTGCCTATAGAAATTTTGGATGTGGCCGAGTACCTCATGTGGCCGGTCAGCTCATGCTATAAGACCCTGGACAGAGGAACTGACGGGGAAAGGATGAACCAAGGGACGTATCAACTGTGTGCAAAAATGACAATCCCATTGCTGTACGTAGAAATTCACCATTTCAACAGTGCTCTATATAATACCATTGTCGCAACACTTAGACATGTCAGATCAATCCAAAACTTTCAGACAGTGAACATTAGGTGTGTTTCATCATTTTAGAACAAAAAACTGAAAATCGAATTTTTGGTCTGTGGTCATATTTTAGCGTGCTCTGGCTCATGTATGCCTGGTATGTGTGTATGTATGTATGTATGTACAAGTGAGGGAGGGTGAAGGGTGGATGGGGAAATATGCGAGTAATGAGTCCAGTCTATAATATAGTTGAACAATTGTGGCAAGAGCAGCCGCAGCGTTGTTATCCAGGGATTCTTCTATCTAAGAAATCGTGTAATTATGCACGATGCCTTACAGCTTATCTTAAAATGGGCTCGGCTGCTGTATCCAGGCGGTTGGGTGTATCAATGCAACTTCAAGGAGTCAATCTGTTGATTTGTGCAATCATGGTGTTATTTGATGCCCGGCAACAGCTTGCGAAGTGCCTACACTCAAAGCCTAGAATACAATTCAGTGTTCTGCAATATGTACTCGGCCTGGCAGCCACATAGTCAGTAGCAACTTGCGAGAACAATAGCAGTTACAAGACATTCTATTATCTGTAGGGATATGGCTGGTGTATCTTTGTCTGATATCCTCGTTACAGGTTCGAATAACTGATACCAGCACGGTAACGGCTGGCGCTGGTAGAATGCCCTGCCCCGTCTCCATTGGTGTTGGTGGGAGAATGGACAGCATCGCAGACACCTCCTCTGCACAAGGCGCTAGCGTATCTGCAACATTCATGCGAGCCAGCCTGGTATGTTAGGAGAGGTTCTGTAATAATTGGGTACTTTAAGGGTTCTGAAAAATTGTTCATTGTGTATCCATTATTTTGTCTCCTTCCAGAGACTACCCCACTGTCAGTGATAATTGGAAATATGATTTGTAATTTTCGGCCCATTCAAATTTCGGCCTCCCAGGGCTAGAACACATTTTGGCTGCAAGTAATTTTCGGTCTCTACTGCTGCTGCCTGTATACACTGTCACACTGAACCTTGCAAAACAAAATTTCGGCTGCAACTAATTTTCGCCTAAAATGTCCAGGCCCAAAATAGATATGCGCCGAATATTTGCTGACTGACAGTAGTGAGGAAATTGAATCCCACTTGTTTCAGCCCTAACTTTGTTCTTATGATTGTGTTCTTTGCCAGGTACGCAATGCGAGTGATGATTGCCTTTTATCCATGTCGAATGATGTAGCGCAGCAAGGCTGTATGTCCACTGTATGGCTGGGTGATGGCAGTGGCACTGTCAGTATGGTAGATTATCGCCGTGGAAAAACTCCCAGGGTTAGTAACACACACCTTGGACACACACACACACACACACACACACACACACACCTGTCCTGTCCTGTAGAGTCACTGCCGCAAAAGGGTCACGTGATCCAATCACTGGGAAACTTGAGAAGAGAGAGAGAGAGGACACGACGCTCGATGACGCTCCAGGTGCACGGGTAGTCGCATCCGCTTGCCGCATATGCACACGTGCTGGAAGGCTGAGCGCTCCTCTGCTGTTGGTCTATGCGCCACCCCTGAACAGCGATGCCTGCCCCGTCCCCGGACACCGCGAAAGCAGCGACCACACCTGTCACAATGCGCGGCACAACATCCCTCCGCCGGTGCCGACGTTCCGGTAGTTCCAGGTGGCACTGCGGCATCCACCGATGAGGCACACACATGCCGGACCAAGCCACCGCGGCTTCTCAACCACCGCCCACACCGCCCGCACTGATTGGCGCCCCGCTGCTCAGACACAGGCCGCGCACGCTCCTCCAGACACTTATGCCGAGCCATGTCTCCTTTCCGTGCAAAATCCCGTCCGCATACCGTACATACCACTCGGGGCGGAGGCTCAGGCACATTGTCAGGCTCTTGGTAGGTGCTGCGCCACTCCGCGCGGGACTCACATGCAACATCATACCATGATGCCTCCACGCCACGGGCACGTAGATCCCAGCACAGTCCTTCCATCTGCGGCGTGGGCCACGTGCTGGGCGACGCTGCAAGAAGGAGCCAAACAGTACCTGTTTTGGGATGCGGTTGTCCGGCATCCGCGCCACATGCCCCAACCACTCCAACCGCCGATGTCAATCTTGTCTTTAATCGTCTCTGAGTCTCCCCAGCGCACCAGCAGCTTTTCGTTGGTGATGTGTTCGTCCCACATCCGGCTTCGAGAGACCCCGAGGATGGATCGGATGCACCTCATGCTGAAGGTTGAGAGCTTCTGCAGGTCATGTTGAAGGGGCGTCCAGCACTCAGAGCCATACAACAGCAGGGACAGAACGCAAGCATTGAATACGCACCGCTTGGTGTGCATCAGCAGATGTGGAATGGAGGATACAGACCTCCGAAGAGCACCGCAGGCCCTGGAGGCTTGGGCAATCCTTGCGGCGATGTCCCGGGACGAACGGCAACCGCTGTCCACTACAGAACCGAGGTATTTGAAATGCGGTACGCATTCCACCTCCGCTTGACCAAGTTGGAGGGGAGCGCAGTCAGTAGGCGTGATGCCGGGGCCAGCAACCACAAATTGAGTCTTCGTTGCACTGATGGTCAAGCCGAATCCCGACGCCACCTCGTGAAGACAGCACAATGCTGCCCCCGCTCCAGACCGAGTCGTAGCGAATAGACAAGAGTCGTCAGCAAACTGGGAATCTGTTAGGCAATGGTGTTGGTCGTCACGACGGGGTTTACGGTATAGATCGCCGCTGTATGCTGAGCGGAGCTCGAAGCCAACCCCGTCAACTCTCCTGACGCGGTGTTGCCACTGGGTCATGACGGCCCACATAAAGATATTAAAAAGGACCGGCGCCATAGAGCACCCCTGGCGAAGACCATTGCCAATGCTGAACGGGTCTGATAATATGTTGTTGAACTGCACCGATGCTGACATGGGGTCGTGGAACGACCGGATGATGTTGATAAGCTTTTCTGGCACTCCCGCACGGCCGAGGACCTGCCACAGACACCCCCTGGGCACTGAATCATAGGCCTTCTTCAGGTCGATAAACACAAAAAATCTCTTGGCCTGATGTTCGATTGACTTTTCCATGAGCTGTCGGACGGTGAATATCGTGTCAGAGCAGCCACGCCCTCGCCGGAACCCGCACTGGGACTCAGGGAGAAATTCCTCTGCGAATACCTGCAGCCTTCTCTGAAGGACACTCGCCAAGACCTTGCCGACCACATCCAGCAACGCAATGCCCCGCCAATTGTCGCACACACACACACACACACACACACACACACACGCATACATGCACACACACACGTGCACACACATGCACGTACACACACACAGCACATACACATGCACACACATACACATACACACACATGTACACACACATATACACACACACACACACACATACACACACACACACATACACTACTATCTACTATCAATCAGCTACCCCGTGGAGTCACGCCGCCCTTCACTCAGAGAACTGAGGGCAAGGTGAGGGGCTGTGGCGCAAAACAAAACAGGGAAGTACAGCAGAATGAATTGAAAAAAAGGAAATCAGAACAAGCGGCCATGCTTTTGGGAAAGGACGCACAAACAGATAAGAGGAAAGAAATATCACAAACCAGATGAACAGTCTGCTGTAGTGTGGGTCCACTATAACATGCAACGACTGAAAAAGTAAAAAAATGTGAACATGATGTTCTGTTCAACAAAAACGTCTGTACGCGTACTACTTTGGCCTTCATGAACCAGGAAAGCACAATCTTGAGCTGGAGGGTGGACACCGAACGTCCCGCAAGGGCTCCACCAAGACGTACTTTCACGAGCGCCGAGGAGTGTGCACAGCAAGCTAACAATACTACACCATCGCCGCACGACGACTAACCACTCAGGTCCAAACAACATGCCCAAGGACAAATTCATAATTCCAGCGCTACACACACATACACACACATACTGGAATTGGGGTACAGAAGTTTTAGTTCTTGCTCAACTCATAGCATTGTGCCTACTTCAAAGTACTACTGACCTCCTGGTGCATCTTTTCTGTGCTTTCACTGACTCCTGCTGTTCGACCTTCCTTGGTGATCTGCATGCAATGACCTTCGAATACAATGCCCCTGTAGAATTATGATGATAATTGTGCTTGTGTCATTTGTGTTGCATTTCATTGTATTTTATCATTTTACTTGGCATTTCCAACAGACCCTAAGGACTTCTTGCACACGGGGTGCCCAAAGTGCATGTATGTGTTGTGTTCCTGGCGAAATGAATTTGGGATATGATTAGTGCGAGAGGATTCGGAAAGTGCGTTAAAGCGGTCAGCACCAAAGAAGGAAAGTATAGTGCTGTTTGTTGTGTTGAATTCCTGTGCTTAGTGTTGCTGTGCCTATTATCCTGCTGTTTCTGATTCCCGCAGCCATCATCAGTGAAGGTTTGCAACTCCCACGTAACGGGCCTTCTGTCCATCGACAATCACGTGTGGGTAGCGTCAGAGCATGACGGCCTGTTTGTGTATGACTGTGCTCTTAGCCAGTGTCACCAGAAGTGGACTGGTGCAGGTCTGGGTGTAGCCATTGGAAACTACGTTGAGGAGCGCAGGATGAGTGCCAGCCTAGCACCAAAAGGTACTTGTATGTGATGGCTAAACAATGAATGCCACTGCAATCGTGTCCACATCAATTTGCAGTGTGGTTGCACAGATCTTCTGCATCTTCTACGTGTCATGTGCCATGTGCTACCCGATCTACCAGCCTGCTGTCGACTAGGCGCCAGGCGCGTACTGATGGTGATGGTGGCGGTGGTGGTGGTGGTGAGAAGATGAGCTCTGTGCCAGAACTATGCAGCCTAGAGACCGTGTGTGGGCAGGCGTGTATTTACCGCCATATTGCCAGGTGTGTATTTACCACCATATTAGTCAACCACAAGACTGACAGCGAGTGTAAGAATACACACATCGTGACTGACAGCACGTCAAGGATAAGAACATCAGGACTAGCATAACCTGTCGCCTTCTCTTGTTCTTTGTTTCTTGACAACCTTCTCAATCTCTCCTTGATGCCATCCTAGATGAAGCCACAGCGGAAGATGCAGGTCATAGCGAAAGAGTCGGTTCTATTGATCTGAACATAGCTAGTGAGGCCACTGGTCAGCGCAATATGAGGTTCCGCACTGTATCCATCTTAGGTGAGTCACTGGTCATTTTGAAATCTGCAGCAATGGTTAGTGGTGGAGGTATGCCAGCAATGGGTTGCCCTTCTTGGTAGCAATATGGTTGTCTTACACAGCACTCACTGGACTGGGTAGCATCAAGCAAACTAAAGACACCAGTGAAGGTATACATTCTGTCACAAGAAGGGAAGGATGCCGGTTGCCAAGTACCTGGAGTCAGCAAGTGTGCGGAATCTGCAACAGAAATCCTAATAACCCTGATGAGTCGCAAAAGCCAATGAAATCTACAAGTGAAGTTAGAGAAGACGTTTGAACTGCGACACAGTAGCCAGACCTGTTTGATCTGGCATGGTGCTTTTCCTGTGCATTCGTGTGTGACCGCGTGTGTGTGTGTGTGTGTGTGTGTGTGTGTGTATGTGTGTGTGTGTGTGTGTGTGTGTGTGTGTGTGTGTGTATATGTGTGTGTGTGTGTGTGTGTGTGTGTGTGTGTGTGTGTGTGTGTGTGTGTGTGTGTGTGTGTGTGTGTGTGTGTGTGTGTGTGTGTGTGTGTGTGTGTGTGTGTGTGTGTGTGTGTGTGTGTGTGTGTGTGTGTGTGTGTGTGTGTGTGTGTGTGTGTGTGTGTGCATGTGTACATGTGTGTATGTCACGCTCTGTATTTCTATACCATTACCCTAGCCATTCAAAGCTGTAACCTTGTACTGGTGGTGTATGGTGAGGGAAGCCTTGCCGTGTTTGGCAGCAATGTCGCTGACAACGGCGCTGGTGAATTTGTGCCCCGGAGAAACCACAAGTGTGGTAAAGGGAGAGAAGTGAGTAGATCGCCGCTTTGCAGTGCAGTGCGCAGGAAGCATGCTTGACTTGATACTGTTTCTGGGAGTACAGTGCGTATCGGTTATAGTGTGGTCGTATACAAGAATATACTGCCTACAAGAATGAACACTCATTTTTTCATAATCATAACACCTATTTTATGTGTATATTTATTCTTACAAGCAGTATTATCGCATAGTAGAATATATCGGCCCTAAGAATGGATTTTGTGTAGCAAAATATGCCAGATTAGTGCAAAATGTATCGCCTGTAGTAATAACATCTGTGCTCTGTGCATGCTCAATACAATAATATTCAACACAAAAAGAGAGTTGTGTCCAACTGAGCATTGGAGATCACTTTTTCTGTCCAGTCGGACTCTTTCTTCCGACTTCTCTCCTATCTGCTGCTCCGCAGTCGCCTAGCACGACCGCGAGTCTGATCCGTGTGTATCATGATTGTGTAGACCTACATGTACATGTACATGATTATACGTGTCCACATGCCAAACATGTATTATGTCACACGTGCATATGATATGTCACACGTGATTTATCGTGTGTAAGAAATATCGGCAATAAGAATCAAATGTCGTTTTTCAAACACCCACGCTATAACCGATACCTACTGTACATGTATGTCATGCTACTTGTGGGAACAGTGCAAAGAGAAGCCGCATCACAATGCATGTACACATCACGCCAGCCTTTTAAAATTTGTTAACTGAGTTGCAGAGCCAGATTCTGTGAACTGCAGTCAGATTTGTTGCAACAGCTACTCTTGCATGGCAGACTCCTCTAGTCAGTATAATTATGGTCTCTGCTGTTCAGTATCATATGTCCTGTATTAATACATGACTTCCTTAATCCTTGACACGTTAACAAATTTCACCAGTTGTAGTCTTCGGGGTGCTGAGTCGAATGGTCTTGGTCCGAGGAAGCTGAGACGCTCCATTTCTCCTTGATATTCCCAATCAAACTCGCGCACTTCCACCGAAACTGGGTGACTGTGCCCTACTAGATGGGGATATGTATGCAAGATGTCACAAAAAGCGCCATTTCGTTCTTATTAAAGCACGGATGACCGCGATTGGCCCATATGTTGTACTCTTTTGGACGCTGAGTCGACTAGTTTTGGTCCGAGAATGCTGCAATGCAGCGTTCCTCCTTTATTTCCAATCGAACATGGTTGAACAAGCGGTGACGTGCTTCTGCAGTACACCAGTCACCTGGTCACCGTGCTTAGCGGCCCTAGCCTAGCGCCTGCAGGGTGCAACTTACAGCCTGTTTGACCTTTTTTGGGTGCACTCCTGTAACTCGAGTTGAACATTGGTGTGAAAGTTCTCGCCTGCTGGCGCGGTGACCAGGTGACTTTGGCACGCAGGAACACGTGACCGCCTGTTCAACCATGTTCGATTGGGAATAAAGGAGGAACGCTGCATCGCAGCATTCTCGGATCAAAACCAGTCGACTCAGTGTCCAAAAGACTACAACATATAGGCCATTTGCGGTCATCCGTGCTGTTATAAGAATGAAATGGCGCTTTTAGTGACTTTTGCATACAAATCCCCATCTAATAGGGCGCAGTCACCCAGTTTCGGTGGATGTGCGCGAGTTCGATTGGGAATAAAGGAGGAAGGGAGCGCCTCAGCTTCCTCGGACCAAGACCATTCGACTCGGCACCCCGAAGACTACAACTGGTGAAAATTTGATTTTTGGCTAAACTTCCCCTTTAAAGAATTCTATTATTTTTCATTTCTTGCCAACTTGTTTTTTAGGTGAGTAGTATGGCACTGATACGGCCGCAGCCTGGTGTTGAGGAGGTCTGGTTAGGGCTACAGTCCGGTGATATTTTGGTTGTGAGTACATCTCAGCTGCTGAGCGAGGAGCTGCTTCTCAACATTGACCCAAGCCGAGTGTGAGTAGTCGTCGCTTTCAGTTGTGTGCATGTCGGAATCTGAGTAGGTCTGTGACAGTGACCGGTATCATATGCGGTGTCACAGGACAACACCATTCCATGCATGGTTGTCCACCACTTCGCCATGTCCGGTGCCCCAATGCTATACCATTCCATGGTTGTGCACAATAGCATTAGCCTAAGCATTGTAGGTATGTGTAGCATTCTACTGGGTTGACTTTGGATAAGCTATGCATAAACCTTGGCCACAATTATCATTACGAAGCCTTTCTCACAATTATCATTGTTTGGAAAATGGAACACACTGAGACCGGTTTTAAAATTATATTTCGGGAAAATGTATAACCGTGATTTGGCACATTTAAAAGAATTTATCTTATGTAAAAATGTCTTCGATAAATTATTTCAATCCTTGCTGCCACTGCTATCATCGCAAGAGTGAGTTTGTTCATGGTTTCTACCTTCTTCTTTGTCGTGATAGCATTGACGTTCTTGGCGAATGCCCCGAGTACAAGCTGAAGCGCAGAATTCGTTTGCTGACTTCTATTTCAACATCAAGAGCATCGGCAAACTCCAACTTCCCTTCACCGGGAAGTTCGGAGAGTTCGGACAGCGCAGATGCTTTTGAGATTGTAACCGACAGCGAGGTGTGGGTAGCCATGGACAGAATGTCCATTGCAAGCTGCTGGAGTACGTCCACGCGTCAGCTGGTGAAACCGTCAGGCATTCTAGACTGTCAGCAGGAGAACATAATTGCACGGCTACCCGGATGCTCGCATCTACAGCATGGTTAGTGCAGTGAAGTGTACGGTCGGGGGTTCTCCTTGCACCTCATGATATACGAACATATTACTCATAATTCGTGACAATTTGCTTGTACCAAATGTGGGTTCTATGACTGTCTACCAAATTCACCTTCCGAATCTACCAAGACCTAGCTCCTCATGTTTTTCTATAGTAAAGTTGCTACCTGAATGCTCAACTGGATATGCTCCTGTTTGATATTGCACAGAACGTGAGACTCGTGTCACCGCCATCCTTCCCCTCAGCGACAAAGTGATCCTGGGCACGGGCGGAGGTCATATTGTTGTGGCCTCCCTCGACCCACTGGCGCCACTGACAGTGTTTGCGGCCTACACTGGTTCCGTGATGTGCCTGTTGCCGTTCTCCTTCCCTGTCAGCAAACGCAAGAGAGCAAGGTCAATCCGCCGTGGCAGTGCTGGGTAAGGCATGCGACTGAACTTGTAGTCAAGATACTCACTGTCTTTCAGACGGTCATGCATGGTAGTTCAACTGGTACCCATGCGTGACAGAAATAGCCTTTCTCGCTGTACATATTATACTGTACTGGCGTACAGGGAGACATTACATACATGTAGACGACAACAAGGGCAACAGCACCCATATTCAGGGCTAGTTGGCCGCAGCCATGTGTGAACCAGATTTCAAGAGAAGTCTAGAAGCAAAGACTGAGGAAAGAACATCTGGAGTGAAAAAGGCATGCAACCGGATACCAGAAACAGACCATGATACAAGACCGCTGGGGACCGTCAGATCAATTTACCTGAACCAAGCTAGCCGGGGAAAAACCTTGCATTGACGGGCACAGAAATGAGGAAAAACGGGCGCATGTGTCCAAGTGGCAACATGGCAGGGCAGGGCAAAGCACAAAATAGAAAAGAAGAAAATGGAAAGATCAAGATGCCCAGAAATGAAGGTAGGAGGGCAGGAACTCAAATACAACTCGAAAACTGACTGAAAATGTCAAGAAAAAGGATCAACAATATAGAAATAACATTGGGTGACATATTTGCTAGAAAGGTATTGTGTGATAAATCATTTCTCGCTTATAATCATATATCTCATGTACCAAAGTATAGAGGCTATGCGATTACATCGTCAGGTAAGATGCTTTGGCAAAGTCATGGCACAACGCGCTGGCAATGGCCCTAGCGACTCACTCTGTATACATGTATTGTAAATAGCTCCCATAAGCGGTTCCCCTGTATACTTAGCGCCCGTAAGCAGTTCCGGCATTCCTCTCACTCATCATTATAACTTCTTTCGCATAACCTGTATAGTTTCTGTTTTTGTTTTTGATATAAATATTTTACTTCGTTGCCTCAACAGTGCTATGTACAACTTCAATGAGGGTCGAACAAGAAACGAAATAACTGACAGTCAGCAGAAAGGGAGTGAGGGAGAAAAAAAGTATTAGTTACTGCTGTCAAGTGATTGACTTTCCTGCTCCTTTAATAGCTGCCCCTTTAATAGCTGGTCGCTCATCTTCAATGCGTTGTGCTCCGAAAGTTAGCAGAATTGAAAGTGAGAATGCACTGCATGAGTAGTGTGTGTGTGTTAGTTAGAGGTACTTCCATCATGATTTTTACTTGCATTTCTAATTTCCCATACTTCTACTTTGAATACGTGCCGGTTGATGGATAACCCCAGGAGCTGCCTAGTAACATTTGTCTAGTTGCAGAGGCAACTAGTCCTTGCCAGAGGCTACATACACTGATGCCTCATTTTTTTCCTGCAAACAAATGCATTACATCGCGCAACAGTATACGGGATGATGGTAATGTTATGGATCCTCATTGCGCCCAGGGGATCCACTGAAATTGTGGATCCTGCCCCTGGAGCAGCATTAGTCAAACCAAGTTCCAGTATGCTTGATCACTGATGTTAACTTTCATATGATCCATGTGTCATTGTACTCAATGTATCCGCTGCTTGTTTTCTGCTTTGATGTCAGTTTCCGAATCACGTCGTCATCAGCCCCTGCCAATGACCTGGAAGGATGTGAGTTGGTTCTAAGCTGTGGCCAGGCATACCGTGGTCTGTACACTGGGCCAGGGCCAGCTGAAGAGAATGCTGCCAGTGTGTGCACTGGAGCTGCCGAGCAGATTACAGAGGGTCACCTCTTGATGTGGCTCGTTGATGATTTGCAGCCAAGCGAAAATGCTGGCACATAGGGTCAGAGTTAGCTTACTGACAAGTCCTGTACCAATCACTGTGGCTATAGAATAATCAAGTTGATTGTTTTCCATGACTTCCCTCTTGCAAAGTAATAATTTTAATTTTTAAGCATGCAACATCATACTTCCTTTTTAAAAGTAAATTATCCCTCGCGCTCTATGTATATTGTTGTAACCACCCCCACCCCCACCCTCTACCTCTATTGTTGGACCTCGCTCTGCAGTTTCACTAGCATGCAATTATTGTTTGGCCTGCACCTTCTCTGTGCAGTGCATTGGCGCGGCATTGATGGCTGCCCCCTCCCCCCCCAGCAAGGCAAGGCTAACGTTAGTTTGTCGGAACAGTGTAGACTGTACCAACAGCAAAAAAGGCCTCTTTTACGGGCAAACAGAATACAATTGACAGTGGCATGGCGAATGATTAGAACACAACACCAAAAAATGAAAACAATTGTATGTGTGAAAAAACGCAAAAACGAGAAACAAAAAAACAAAAAACAAAAAAACACCAAAAACAAACAAAAAACAAACAAAAAACAAAAACCAGGAAAATACAAGGGCACGTTAGTTTGTCACTACTCTGAGTTTCATGGTTCATTCTTTGTTGTGGCAATGTGCTCTGCTATTGCTATTTTGAATTATTTTGATCCTGAGTTAGATATGAAGTAATGTCCTTTTGACGAATATTATGACAATCGGGTGCAATGAATATAACTAAATGCGCACTCATGATTATCACAACCATGGGGACGAATAATGTATTCCAGAACGTTTTCTTGTCACAATTATCAATGGAATTCGTGACTAAAGAGAATGATGAAACTACAATAGGATATAATAATACACTTGGAGTGAAGCAACGAGGATACAAGAATAGTAAGAAAAATAGCACAAACTTAGGAAACATTTGCACAGGTATTAATAAAACTGTACAGGTGAGAAATGATAGGAAATTCAGCAAGTGCAGTGTGACAATGGACATGCATGTGCAAGTGTGTGTGAGTGCGAATTTACTGGAATAGTGTAAGTGCGGTGACATTTTCTTTTTGTTTACAAACATTTGGATCACGAATGCGAATGTAGACTGCTTCTAGAACTTTCAACTGCTTGAAACCACTTGCAGAACGAACAACACTGAACCAAGAATCATCATAACTTTCACGACACACGGGGTTAGACAACAAATGCAATTTAATTGCCGACGTATTCTTCTTATTCTTCTTCTCACCGCCTCCGCCTCCACTGGGTCTCTGACCACCTCCGTCTTTCACACCATCATCGCCATCGTCCTCTTAATCATCGTTGCCACCTTCACCTGTCGTCGCCTCTCCCAGCAACTCACCACCGGGTTCATCATCGTCGCTGCACAAATCGCTTCCATACTCCTCCTCCCGCGCTGTCGCGTTCTCTTCCTGACCGGTCTTCCCTTGCCATTGCGAAGCACCTGATCTGACAGTCGTCAACCCTTCCGCTGGCATCATCCTTATCAATATCCGGAAAGGCTCGACGCATCGTCCCAGTCACCTCTGCAAACCGAGCTGACAATTCATGAAGGTTTTGACAATGATGCATGCAGGCAGTACTAGAATGCTTCTCTTGTCTCTTTTAGTTGCCTCCAACCTTGCTTCTCAGTACATGGACGCGCTATCTTCTGCTTCTCCACGTTTCATGTGATGCAATTGAAAACATAATTTCTTGGCCTGCACCTTCTCTTCGCAGTGCATTGGCCCAGCATTGATGGCTGCCCCCTACAAGGGCTGGCTAGTTTGTCGCTACTCTGAGTGTCATATAAGGCCTCTTTTTCGGGCAAACAGAATACAATTGACAGTGGCATGGCGAATGATTAGAACACAATTGTATGTGTAAACGGTACCATTTGGTAGGGGAAAGATCCAAGAGTCCCTGATCCCCTTTTAACATCAAAATCAATGAAAACTCTGAGTGTCATGCTTATGCATAAATAATCGTCGAGAAGACAATAGTTATTATCTGTAATGTGGAGTTGAAAAATAATTATAAGAACGTGGCCAACAGCAGTCTTAGGGCAGCAGTTGAGGTTGGATTCAAACGGTTTCTTGTGGCACTCATCAGGAACAAATCACCACAGTGGGGTACACCAGAATCTAAACACGGAAAATCCGATAGAGAAAGGGCAAGTGCAACAAATCATAAATTGAACCAACGGAAGCGAAACACATAATTCAAGACAAGGACCACTCGATCGACTCAGAGTTTCATTCATGCATGCTCATTGCTCGTAATGACACTATCATGAAGCAACTGGTGATGATGAGAAACTGAGAGAAGCCTCCTTTATACGAAGTATAGCTGGTATCGGCAGGGAAGAGCAAGTGCACAGACCTGAACAGGCTGAAGGAGTGAGCATACATGACGATGAGCTGAGCAGGAAGTTGTCAGGGGAGGGTCAGAGAGGAACAATGTGTTATCATGTCCGCATTGTCATGTCATGAAGGTATACAATGATTGTACATGCAGACTCTGCACGACTGCAGGCAAACCACAGGTGCATGGTAGGAAGTATCTCGCTCAATTGTGAAGAGAGGGGAGGAAAATAGAACTGTGATGAATTCCGAGTGGCCTTTAGTCTTCTATGTGTGAAGAAGCTCCTCGCTCAGCATATCGAGTACCAATATTTCAGCTTTTCAGCTACTGCATCATTGAAAGGCCAAAACAAAAAATAGGCTTGTTTCCGGTCGGCAACCCCTCAAAAAGGAGACTCGGTCGGCCGGAATGAAACTTTTTTTGGATACATTTTTTGGCCCCTCAATCGTTGCAACGTTGTGGTATTGATGGACAAGAGCACCTACACATGTACATTGTACATATATCATGGCAAGGATCAATGTCAAAGTTGACTGACTCACTGTTCTTGTACAGCATGTGGTGTATTCCTGTTTTCGTACATCCTGAGAAATCAAGCAAACAGTTCGAGTCCTTTCAGCTCCGTTATTCTAGCTCGTATCGACCTCGGAGGTTTTCGAGCCGACAGCTGAGAATCTCTGCTACCTTGTAGGTGTTTCAATTGTGGACTTCGATTGAGATTTGACTGAGTTATGACTCGTTGAGTGCACTTGCACACATGGCATTGCCACCGTTTGTATACTATTGGGACCAAAAAAGTCTCAGAATTAGGGAAAAAGTGGCCCGGTCGGCCGACCGGAAACAAGGTCATTATTTGTTTTTTAGGAAATTGGGTGTGGGGAGTGGACTGCAGTGCAGAGTGCACACGTCGACTGCTGGAGTTACACTACATATTGGCATAACCCGAGGGGGTTATGTACTCTTGATAATAATAAGTTTTGTGCAGTCTAGTACATGACGTGCGAGTCCAGTAGACCGCCGTAACCATGCACCAAGACTACATAAACTAAAATTTCTTGTACTCTTGCCGAAACGTATCAATATTACGTACAGTATGTTGCAAAGACTCGCAATCCGAGAAAAGTCATCGTCAGGCGCCCACACTCCGCCACAGATTCTAATGATTAAATAATCGTATCATTCATCCAGCTACATGTGCATGTATGTCAGCTTATCAGCTATCACCATACCAGCCATGCGTGGACAAGAGGCACCAGACGTACAGTAATCTGATGGTGTTCGTGAGAGAATAGGCCCTTTTTGTCAGAACTGTTTGAGAGCGTTTGGCCATTTGTGTGCATGATGCATCGATGGGCAGGCGTGCATTTGCTGTCATTTTGCCTCGCGTACGCGCGTGCTCTTAGGTTTTACCGTCAGAACTTCCCTACATGTACACATAGCTCTCTTTCCAGAATGAACCTTCCAACAACTTCATTGTTCGGCCATTTAGCTATTCTCTCAGGTTCTGCTGCTCCCTCTTAGCCATGCAAACCTCCACTGCACGTAGATCTACCCGCTATCTGTACTGCAACTCGCTCTCTGGGTCTCAGTGCTCCGGGCCTTGGTCTGCATACAAAATACATAATTATGTCATTCTACAAATTACTGTATTTGTAGAATGACATAATTATGTACACTGATTACTACTGCATGTACCGTATTATCTCTAATATAAGCACGGTCCTTTATTTTTTCAATGTACCTCCGCCCCGTGCTATTAATGGAGACGTTCCTTTATTGGAGACTGTTCCATTATTATTTCAACCTCATTTCAGAGGCATGTTGCCATGCCAAATTCATGTCAGACACACACATTTCAGGGTTTTTTTCGCCGGTACAGATAATGAATTTACACAGTGTGCTTATAATGGAGACTGAGCACTTTATTTTTTGAATGCCGCCCCAAGGTGTTCTATTATTGGAGACGTGCTATTATTGGAGACTGTGCTTATATTAGAGATAATACGGTATATCCACTGCCGAGATCCAGGAAGCTCAAAATGCTGTGAAGTGTTCGGGTGCTGATCATTTTTCGACTCCTTTCAAATCCATCCTACTAACGTTCTTAATTCGATTAATTTTGATTCATTTTCCTTATTGGCCAATGGCCAGCTTGCAAGCTGCAAGGCCAAGGACCATCGTCGATAATAATAATATTTTAAAATATACTTTAACATTGCCGCATTTGGACATTCCGCTGTTTGGTATCATTGTTGTGTTGCTGTGATAAAAACCAGAACTGTCAGAAGAACATACAGTCATATTTAAATATGTGAGTCACACAAAACACCCTGACTTCCCCCAGATAGACCGTACCAGGACCCTGATAACAGTGATATACATGATCCAAAGCGCGTCCGAGATCTACGAGTACCGGTAACTACCGTCTGCCAAAGCCTGCATAACTATGTCACTGAAGCGACCTAGAACCTACTTACCATGACATTGTAGACCTACCGGAACATTTACGAGTATCATGATCTGCTGAGTCAATGCTTGGCATGCTGACTGAACAAACATAATAATAATAATTTAATATTATTAAATTTTATTATGCTGCATGCATGCACCGGCCGGCATGGCGTCAAACGTTACGTTATTGGGATTGGGGAATGTCCCTTTCGTTGGGTCGGACTGGAGTTGTATGGCAAGCCGGATGCGGGGAAAGTGGCCAAGAAGAGTCTCCACTTACCATGCTTACTCTTCTCTTCTTTGGTGTGAACACGGGTCAAGCTGTCACTTCCATTCGTCATCTACATGCTAGAACATGATTGTACAGTCATGTAGTAGATCTACTACTACTACTACCAGTAGATGACGAAAATCAATGGAAATGCTGGTGGTGCAAAAGCGCAAGCATCAACCACTAATCTTGACTCAGAAACAGGTCAGAGAGTGTAGTCTCAAATGAATGACCGCCTTGTTTTGTCTGTGTGGTACTGGTAGTGTGCAATGAGTACTACAACAAGTGTAGTAATCTCTAGTCTAGGATCTACTTCAGTACTTGTCTCAGCCTTGACAGTTACGGCGTCAGCGAAAGAAGCGGTGTGCTATTCATCGCTTCCCCGCTCTCACCCTCAGGTCCATGTTCGAATGCATGTAATCGGCCCGGCACGTACAAAAGGCAATGATGAAGTCGGCGTGGCGGAGTTCATTGACAAAATTAGGAAAGCAAGGTTTCTGAAAGCGAGCTGACTGCGATCCGAACAAGACCATGCTGCTGCATTTAGGCTTCTGCAGCTCAATGCGCTACTGGCGCAGCAAACTGGAACATTCATTCGCGATATGTCTTGCTGTTTCATTGGTATTCGCCGGATCTGAATCTGCTCAGCAGCTTCCATCCTCCA